ACAATAAATTGTATAATATTGCGACCTTAATATATTTAATTAATAAAATATTTTTTTAATTAAGTCCTTGTTTGATCCCCATTATTTTAAAATCCATCTTTTCTTAAACTCATTTTAACCATACATTCTCATAATAAAACATTTTGCACGTGATTTTAATTTTTTTCTACTTTTTAATTACACATTTTCAAAAATTCATTATTACACACCGGGGCGGATCGGCAGTGGGCTGCACTTGACTGTAGCCCACTATTGCCCAAGTCAGATCCACTAAAAATGGTACATTTAGATGAAAATTAATTTTAATTTTAATCTAGGGAACAATACATAAATCACGTTTTTAGTGAACACTATTTCAAAATTAAGGATAGAAGTTTTCAATTTCAAAAATCAGGTTTTAAAAAACTTATTAAGATTTCATAAAACCATAAATTCAACTAAATGGTAACAATACATAAACTAGGTTTTTAAGTATTACCATTTCAAAATTAAGGATGGATGTTTTAAATTTCAAAAATCAGGTTTTTATTAAAATTTATTTATGATTTAATTAATTATATATATTTAATTAATAAATATATATAGGTCACATATCAATGAAATTTGGTCACAATTTAAAAAATTTAAGGTCACAATTCAAAAATTTTATAAGTTGTTGTTCATTCATCGGTCACAAATTAAAAATTTAAAAGTCACAATTTGTTCATCGGTCACACAACTTATTTTTGGTCACAAACATCAAATTATAGATCACATATTACTTTTCTTGGTCACAAATTAATAAATTTGTATGTCACACAGTATTCATTTGTCACAATTTATTCTTTATTGTTCACAGGCCAACCAATTTATTGGTCACAATTAACAAATTATTTGTGACTACCACCAACACAACACCACCGTCGTCTCCGCCACCAACACCACAGAAAACTCACCATCACCACAACACCATTGTCATCTCCGCTGCAAACACCAACACCACAGAAAATGCGCCATTGTCGCCAATACCAACACCACAAAAACGCACCACCGCCGCCAACACCGACACAACCATCACCACCACTTCCCAGCAACAAAATCGCCGTTTCAAAACATTGCAGCCAGCGTTTTCACCACCACCACTACACCAAACCGTCAGCACCACCACCACCACAATCACCGTCCCACTCAGCAACATCGCACCGCGAAAACTCCACTGCACAACTAAAAAAAAACCACATATCTGGATCGCTGCCGTCGCGACATCGTGGTGGTCACTAAAAAAAACACCATAGATCTGTATCGCTGCAGCTACAACATCGTCGTGGTGGTCCGACAAATTGAGGGAGAAGAGAGGCGGTGGTGGTGGTGGTGGTTTCTGTTTCTTCTCCAAAAAATTCAACAAGCAGCCACACACCCAATCCAATGAAAACCTACTCATCATAACCCAAAACGTAAGCAACGATGAAAAAAACAATGACTTCGTCGGACAGACTGACGCTGCTTGGTGGTGGTTTAGCAATCGGAGAGGAAACAGGGGAAGACGGAGAGAGAAGAGGGAGTTTAGAATGGAATTGATTAGGGTTGAGAATATAAATTGTATAATTAATATTTAAAATGAAATACCTAATTTTTGTACAAATAAACTCCAAATTTGATTTTTGAATTGAAATTTTAAATACCTGTTTGGATGTAATTTCCTCTTTAATATATATCCAACTAATAATCCCTATCGCTTGGTTAACCTAGTCATTCTTAAACTAATTTTTTGTTTTAACTTTTGGCCCAATTATTTGTTTGACTTTAGGCCCAATTTTTAAAACTGACCTGTTTAACTTTTAGCCTATAGTCTATCCCACTTGATTTGATTCCTTTCTTTCTTCTTTCTTCAAAACTCGACCACAAGCGTATGAAACTTTTGAAAATCAAATTGAAAAAAATTCCAAATCTTTAAACTCTAAATATTTTCACCCACCCATTAGACAATGGCTGATCCTTGGGAGGCTGTGTTAAGTGGACTTTGGGTTATGGGTGCCTATTGCCAATTAAATTTTTTAACTTTTGTAATTCAACCCGCCACCCGTGTTATTGAAATTAACAAGAAATTGTCAATTGAACGTTTTTACCAATCGAACTTAACAATAAATTGCCAATTGAATGTTTTTAGCCTGCCTCTTGTGCAATTGCCAATTGAATGTTTTTATCTTTTGTATTTCAACCTGCCAATTTGAATTACTGTGCAATTGAACTTAAAAATCTTGTTATTTTTCTTTTTAAAGAGCAACAAATTTGAGGGTATTCTAATCCCTAGAGTGTCAATTCCTCCAATTTTATCTTCTAAAGTTAAACATCATTCATCTTCTAATCTTGATTTGAAACCATTTGATTCTATTAAGCGGTATCCAGAAAAAGGAAAGCAAATATATGAATATTTATTTAGCCCCCGTTTGACCTCCATTATTTTACGTTATAATTTTAGAAATAGTGTTTTTTTGGAGAATATGTTTGAAAAAAAAAGGAAATGTTTTTGGTTTATGTGATATTATTTATTGGAGAACGTGTTGTTAAAAAGAAAATATAGAAAAAATGTACTATAAATTTAATGAGGACAAAATGGGACTTAACGGACCGGCCAATTTAGGCGGGACCTTATCAACCAAAACTTTTAGAGTATCAGAACAAAAAATGTGAAAAGTAGAAACGTCGAATACGACTTTTTTGGTTTATATGTACATTAAATTTTTTAGTATTTTTGCCCCTCGTCAATTCCCGGCTCCGCCCCTTATTACATAATACATAATCAACAAAAAATGAGGCTCAAACACATGCTAATTATTTAACTAAGGCCTAATTTTTGAAATGATAAAACATAATTTCTTAATTTTAAAATTGTATTTTGCAACCACGTTATGCATGAAATTTGCCCATAGGGTAATGTATTTATTAAAGGGAAAATTAGGTACAGTACCCTAAAAAATTATGTATTTGATTATTGCCTTAAAATTAACTTAAACTACTATTACCGTATTAATTACGTTCAAAACCTCATTACCCATAACAAAAACCCAAATCAGAAGGGAAAATCCGGGTCTTAATCTCCGCCGACTATAGCAGCTGGCCTTAATCTCGGTGTAATCCCTTTTGGCGATCCCAGTTAAGGTAATCTGGAGGCGCTTGCATTCAATGCGGCAATTGAGGCTCACCAGAAACGAATTACAGAGGCTATTTTTGGTCATGCTCTTCAAATTTGCTCTGATAAAAATGTTAAAACGAAAACGCAAGTACTCATTGGGGATCCAAAGGAGAAGATTTGTGAAGGTGTAGAGCAGTTGAATGATGATTTACTAGTAATGGGGTTCCATGCTTTTGGTCCCCTTAAAAGGATGTTTTTGGGAAGTGTAAGCAACTATTGTTCAAACCATGAACAATGCCAGTTGTTATTATTAAGAATAGCTCTTGAGAAGCCATTTTGAATTTTGAGCACGCGATGCTGATGCAGTTGTTTATGGTGAAGACCAAATCGATCCTGTAATCGTTGTAACTGTATTGCGGGTTTTATGAATTTCAGGAATATTATTGTGATGAGTTTGTGTAAAAATGCATAAAAAAAGTGTCATTAAATTTGGAATTAGCTCCAAAACTATGGTAACCTCTTTCCCTTTGATTTTCTAGGATACTATCAAAGTGTTTGACAAAATGTCTCAATTAGAATTTACCGTTTTAAAAGTTTCATAGTAATAAATGGTGAAGGCATAATGGTGTTAGTAACATGCCAAAACTTGAATTGTGTATTGTATTTTACATAGAATTTCTAGACATGGCAACATAATTTTTCAGAAAGTTTTTATTAATCATAAAATCAGGATTGGACTTGCTTTCTTGACTGTTTTGATTAATATGTTACAATTTATGCAACCCAAAAGTACTACTTTGAAGAACTTGACATTAAACACATAGCCTAACATAGTAATTAAAGTATTCATTCAATTTGAGGAATGAACTCATACAACTCATTGACCCGTGAGAGCATTCACCTCTCAAAATGAATACTAAAGAAAGAAGGCATACATTTGTTAAGGTGGGTTGTATATATCAATAACCATATTGCACTAGGTATTCTGCTATGCCTCGATCGGGAAAATAATAACTCAATTGTGTTACACCAACATGAAAATTGCCAACTTGTCACTTTTTTTAGTATTCGTCATTTTTTTGAATTTGTGTCACTTTTTTTTTTAGTGTTTGTCAACTTTTATTAAATTTTTATCACTTTTTTAATGTTTGTTAATTTTTTTGTCACTTCTTTGAAATTTCTATCATTTTTTTGAGCGACAAACATCATTTTTTTAATAAAAATGACACTGTATGTCATTTTTAATAAAAAAAGTGACTTAACTTTAAAAAGTGACATTGGGTTTCTTGTTCAGTGTCACTTTTATTGATTGTCAATTTTTCTGTTAAAAAATGGCAATTAATTTTACTTCTCAAATATGTTTCATATGATTTTTCAAAAAATACTTAATTTTAAGGGTATTTTTGTAAGTTGCCTTTTATTAAACAACCCGCTAACTCAAGCCATGACATTTTGCACTGGTTTCACTATTGGGCCTATTATGCCAAGGCTTAGCCCAATCTAAACCCCTTGTACAACTTTCGCGAAAATCAGGGGGGTTTAAATGTAAATTAAACGAAATCTCAACAGGTCATTTTACAATTTATCCTTCTTTTCTTGGCAATTTCTACCCCGGCCATTTTCTTCCTTAGAACTTTTCGTCTTTCCATTTTCGTTTTCGCACTGTAATTCTCGAATAAAAAAGTTATCAAATTCGCCCTGAAGAAAATCCTGGAAAATCGATCTAGATTTAGTTATTTTCGTTCCTTTTTTTTATGTTGATTTAAACCATTTCATTTCCATGATCTGAACTAGTAGGCAATTTTTTTCAAGTATAAATTTATAAATATGCATTTGTGAATCTTCATATAGCTTTGAAAATTGAACACTAGAATTGGGGGTTGGATCGATGGAGTGGGCCACAGTACAGCATTTGGATCTCAGGCATGTGGATCGGAGCTCCAAACTCTTTCAGCCTCACGCTGCAACATTCCACCCGACGCAAGCTCTTGTTTCCGTCGCTATTGGGACCCACATCATTGGTAAAATTCAATAATTGTTTCCCTTTTCAGTAAAAGAAATGAAGAGATTACTATTTGCTCCATATTTAGTTTGATAATGTAATTTATTGAATTTTTTGTGCTGTGTATAGAATTAGATGCATATACTGGATGCAAGATCGCGTCGCTGGACATAGGTTCGCCAGTCGTTCGCATGGCTTATAGCCCTACTGTTGGCCATTCAGTGATAGCCATACTCGAGGTCAGTACTCAGACTTGTAATCTGTATTTATTTTTATTTTTCCCCAAGAGTTCTTAAAATGTTATCAAAAGGAACACTACTCATTATCTGGGATGTGTGAGTGAAACAAAAGTAAAATATGGCATTAGACCGGATTGTTGAGTCCATAAAATACTCGATCACTTTGAATGCATTGCACATGAAACCTCGTGTAATGTGACAGGAGTTGAGACATGGTTATCGAAAATGATTCATATAGGAACTTTGAGTTGTCTTATATTCAGTTTTCTGTTTAGTTTGCTTGCACAAATTCTGTTCTAGTAGGTCCAATCTGGTGTAGATGATATTTAGACATGTTTGGTAGAGATTAAAATCAGATTTTTAGTACATTTTGATAAAAGTTGAAATGTGTGGTTGGGAAGCTGTGAGTCCAATGAAACCCGTGGTTAAATTAATTGTTGATTTTGACTTGAAATTTTAATCCAAACCAAACAGGGGCTAAGTATCTTTTATTGAGATTGTTTTCCAGTTGGATTGCATGGTTACAGTATGTATGTATGACAATTGCGGGAGTAAACTAAGAGGGTCTGAGTTCCGAGACTTTATGGTGGAAAAGGTTGCTTTACTGAAAGAATTGATGTAGAAATTTAGTTAACTCTGATTAAACGAGAGCAACTGCATTGAATCTCCGAGTGATTCTTTTTTGGTCCTCTGTTCATTTTCTTGTTTCTGTTTTGTTTGGAGCAGAGGAGGTTGAGACAGGGTGGGGGCTCTGCAATGGGTTCCTCTTTTTCTATTAGTTTTGATTTGTGCATCAAATAGTAAAATGATATCTTGGCTGATTGGTCTGCTTTGGAATCATTAGCAAGGAAGTAAAAGTTGGTTACATTCAGTCTTGTTAAATTCCTGAAAATGGTTGAACTTGGGATTTTAGATTTACCTTGTGGACTGCAATTGTGGAATCTGATCAGTATAGTATTTTTGTCATTACAGTAAAAGAGAGAAATTTTGATTGTGGTACACGTAGACATATTTTGACAAAGCTGAAACATTGGCATTGAAATATTTTGTGCAGAAGAAAAAAAGAGAAGAAATAATCTAATTCTTGATAATTTTTTGATTTAATTTCCTTGCCACGTGGCACAGTTGAATTTTGCCCCCCAAAGGAAACTCAACATTATTACGAAGAATTAGAAATAAAAATCTACAAGATTTGAAAGGTCAGAGAGGGTACTATAAGATGATAGTAAAAAAGCTTTCAACAAATTGTGAGTTGTCACGGTGTTGTGCTTCTATATTCAAAAAGCCTGTGTACAAATATTAAAGCTTCAATGATATGCTTTCGTATTTCTTTCAAATAGCATTAATTATAATCTTGCTATAAATTCTTTTATTATCTTTCTTAATTGTTCTCTCCCATCCATCCTAGCTGCATTCAGGTTAAAATTAATTGCACATCACATGTTATTCTGATCTATTCAATGCATGTGGGTGACGTTCATTGTCTCATATTGTAGGATTGTACAATACGATCTTGTGATTTTGACAGCGAACAAACATGTGTTTTGCATTCACCTGAAAAGAGGATGGAACAAATTTCTACTGACACTGAAGTTCATCTCGCCTTGACTCCTCTTCAACCTGTTGTGTTTTTCGGTTTTCATAAGAAGATGAGTGTGACAGGTTGGGCTTATCTGGTCTGATATCTTTTTATTCTTTTTTTTTTTAAATGATTCCTTAAATGAGGTTATTTGCTTTATCACTTTTATGCCCCCTCCCTCCAATAAAACAATTCAAGGCAGTTTGAAAGAGATTTTATCCTTCAAGTGGCATGAAAATCAGCTTGCGAGAAAAACATACTGCCAAACATGTCCATTGAGTTAGTGGTAGTGTGATGGGGAAGAGGCTGTTTCTTCCAGTGATTGTGATGATCTTTTCTCTGTTTTTCCTCATAGTTATGGTATGGAGAATGTAAGATGCAAATGGATGTGCACATAATTTCAGAAATTGAAAGTGGTGAGTAGTGATAATTGTGATGACTAGTGCCAGTGACGCTCCTGAGTTGTATTATGGAAGTGGTGATGTCATAATAATAGTGGATTTTTTTGCTAGAATAACATTGAATACCTTGTAGAACGTAGCGACATTGCTTAAAGCACCGTGCAAGCTTACTTCGAACAGGTTATCGGCCTGTGAAGTTCCTTTTATTGCATGGCTGTAGTTCGTTTAAGCAGTTTTTCCACTGTTAGGTAGTGATGCTACCAGGGGGAGTAAATTCAGCTATTGCATGGCGCTGTCATTGCTGGTATGGGAATAGACACCGACCCTCTTGTTTTATTTGATCAAATGCAAGATCCCTGCTTTACACAATCGAGTCATTTATTAACCACTTCACCTTCTTCTTTTGGGGATTCATTTGATTATGAATTCATTTGCTTTGTTTATTATCTGAATTCAGCTTATATTGAAAGCAATATATATTCTTTACATCTTTTATTTTCTCTTCTCTCATATCTCTAGTTATAGAAAAATGAATAAAAAGGGATAACCACTTTGACAGTGTAGTAGTTATTCTTCACTTCTCTCTGCCTATGTCTCTTCTTGTTTTACAGATCAAAACCCATTGTTATAACAACCTTACACTTTTATATGGTCATAATTACTAAATTTATTAGTTTTCACGAGGAGACAGAGAATAGTCTACAAAATGAGCATAGCCTAGTCTCTCAGGAGGTCTATCAGTCTCATTTCTTTCTAAGAAAAAATAGAAAAGTTAAATCAATTTTTTCTCATCTTTGTGCAAGTAAATTATTTCTGTGCTAAGGTTATGAACTTGCCCAGTTAATTCTCAGAATGGGTTGGGCCAGTGGAGAATCATCAGCATAGCTGGGCGGATTTCAAGGAAAAAATCAGCTATAACGTGGGCAGTGATAGGAGAATTAAGTTCTGAAATGACTGCTACATAGATCATATACCCTAGATATGTTGGGCCCTTTTTCTCTTTCCATTGCTGAGCAGTTGCATGTCAACTTTATTTGGGACCTTAAATTTCAGTGGGAATTAGATCAAATGCAAGATTTGCTTATGCTGTTGTACTCTAGAAATCTAGATGCTGCCAAAGCTGGCTTGATGGTCTGGACCTTGGAAAGGAAGGGATTCTTCATTGCTAAATATTATTATAAAGCTCTTCTGGTTAGATAGAAGTGGTGTAACCTTTAAAGCAGCTTGGAATATTTTTTCCCCCTTGAAGATGCAATATTTTTAATGGACAAAGCCAATGAGTCAGCCTCACTTATGATAATTTTCAAAGTGGAGGGAAAATATTAGATAGGAGATGGTATTATTGTAGGTTGGATATGGAATGTGTCAGCCATCTTTTCTTACAATATGATGATGTGAAGGATTTTTGAGGATTTTAGACCATGGGTGATGACTGAAACTGTGGACTCGTACATAGCTGCTTGGCATGGAACAAGTATTTACATGTCCAACTATAGGTTATGGAGAACCTGATATTGACAAATTGGAATGAACAAATAAGTCCTGCTTTGAAGAACAGCGACTTCATTCAATAGAGTCAAAGATAATAGCCTGCAAAACTTATTTTTGTGGTGTATGGCAGAGTACCTCAAAAGAACTGACCCTTCTGTTAAATTCTTTATTTCTTTTTTGAACAACCTAGCGGTTCGTCTCCTTTTTGGGGGTGAGAGTGCTTGGTTGTTGGGGTCTGAGTTACTGTTTACAGTCACAGAAGCTGCACAACTTTTATATGGGCTGCATGCCTGCACCTACATTGAGCCTCGAAATAAAATTATCTAGTTATCAAAATCAAAAAGTACTTCTGTTTTGGTCATTTATATTTCTTTTCTAAGTCTGTAATTTTTTTGCTTGTGTAAAGTTGTTGGGACTGTGGAAGGTGGGAAAGCGCCGACAAAAATTAAGACCGACCTGAAGAAACCCATTGTCAATCTTGCTTGCCATCCTCGCCTTCCGGCTTTGGTAACATTTTAAAGTTGATTATGTCATCTTCCAAGTTCATATCACCTTTGTTAGTTCTATCTGGCTGTGTGAAAGTAGTGGCTAATGTCCATGCAGCTAATTTTTATGCATTCTTTTTGATTCAGTATGTGGCTTATCAAGATGGTTTAATTCGAGCTTACAATATCCATACGTATGCTGTGAACTACACACTACAACGTAAGATTTGAATAACACTTCTCTATTACTTTATTCTCTATTTCACCTGAGGGAGATGATAGTGTAGCTCCTTTGAACAGAAATTTGGCCATTTAAATTTGGAGCCTTCTAATTTATTGATCCTTTTGCAGTTGATAACACGATTAAGCTGCTCGGTGCTGGTGCATTTGCATTTCATCCTATGTTGGAATGGATCTTTGTTGGTGATAGACGGGGTACACTTCTTGCATGGGATGTTTCCACCGAGAGACCTTTAATGATTGGAATGTAAGTTACATATGGCTCTATAGTCATTACTGCAGTGATACACAAATGTTTTTATCTGTTAATTTATTTAGTGATTGTTTTGTAATGCTTTCATGTTTTATAAGTTGTGGGTCCTACGAAATGTGTGAATAATATATGGTAGTAAATTGTGAATCCTACTAAATATGGGGATAAAACATATGTTTGACCAGCTTAAATTATAATTTAAGCCTTGTCAAACATGTTCTTAGTTACAATTTTACAAACTAGGAGGAAGGATAATACACGAAACTTAATTATTCAAGTCTAATAAATTTTTATGGACTCTATCATTGCTTTACGTGGACTCTTTTGATTCTTAAATTTAATATTTTGCGTCTATTGTCTACCGTTTTCACCTCTTGATATCTCTCCTTTTCCATCATATCCATTTTGTCTCAATTGTTATTCATGTACTTCCTTGCTAATTAGGAAAATATGGATTGAGATTTCTGTAGCCGCACCTGTGGCATAGCTGAAGGGTGACTTTCATACGTGGTCATGTCCTAGTAGTCACTGGAGGATGCCCCCACACAATTTGAATTATGCATCAAGATTACTTTGACTACAGATGCAAAACCATATTAATTTAAGAAGGTTCGTTAACCAGAAAAGAGCTTGGCGACTCTAAGATCTACCAAGTTTGTGAGAACTAGCTCAAACTCCAACCAATATGATCAACATCCAAAAGAAAGTTCCTAAGCTTGAACTGGTCTCAACAATAAATTACCTGTTTAAAAACTTCTACAAGGACTTCCATTTCAACACTCTAGCAGATGGGCCAAAATAATTTATAGTCAGATTACCATCCAAATTACAAACCATTTATCAAATATCGTATAAGTATATAGTTGGAACAATATCAGGTTCATTTCTACTGATTTAAACTGCAATTGGCATGCCATTTTTAGGTCTTGATTTTGATTGTTACAATTTCTCTATAAATGAGGACTGCTTGTCCTCCTAAACACTTAGTCTTTAGAAATAAAATCTCTTTCTTCAAATAGAAAAGAAAAACAAATGTTCATATAGTACTATAAGTAAAGGGTGTGCTTGGATTGGATTGGTTTGGTTTGGTTTTCTAATCGAACTCTTAGTAGCTTAGATCCAGGGTTTAGCCTTTTAATATTGCAGGTTATGGTCTATCCATTTGGATTATCCCCAAAAATGGAGTCTCAACCCCTTAATAGTTTCTTGTTCTAATATTGGCTGCCATATTGATTAGATTTTTTGCATGTTGGGCTACTCTTTAAAGGTGCTTAAAAGCATTTTTTTTTTGAAGTATGAAGTGTCATCTTTATATGCTCCTAGAGAGAGGACCCATATTTAGAAGTTCATTAGAAAATGTTGCGACTTTGATAGTTCTGTGAGATTTTTAATTATGATACATTACCCTTCTCCAACTGATCTACCTTCTCCTTCTTACTTGCTTTCTATTACATGGCAATTCACTTGATTATGTTTAGAGAATTTGATATTTTTGCAAAAATCAACAAGTAGATAAAATGAACATGGTCCATTGGTGATGATAGTTTTAGGAGCATTTTAGAGCTTCAAAAGATATAACGACAGATTTTATAAGTCCTTGCTTCTGGAAAATATAGGAAATTTTATACTGGACAATTACTTTGAGGTTAGTAACCAGTTTTTGTAATTTCTCTCCAGCTTTGTCTTCGTCATTTTATCATTCTCGTTTCTTTACTTTTGTTGTTTTATTCATTCTTAAATCATGACATTCAATTTATATGCCATTCCAGTACACAGGTAGGTTCTCAACCAATAATTTCCGTTGCTTGGCTCCCAATGTTGCGGTTACTTGTCACTTTGTCCAAAGATGGAAGTATTCAAGTATGGAAAACGCGAGTAACAGTGAATCCTAATAGACCTCCAATGCAAGCAAACTTTTTTGAGCCTGCTGGTTAGTTAAGCAACCACTTTTCTGCACTTTTCATTGTGATGAAGAATGGTAAATTTGGTCACCGTGTTCAGTGATGCAAATTTAGTGGTTTATCTCTTGTATATTATGCTTTAAGGGGCCACTAGGTTTCGAAAACAACTTATCCTTACATTTTGTTAAGTTATGATCGAGGTTGCACTAAAGCAATTCTAGGATCGGTTTTGCATCTTTTACACAAGTGCTTCCTAATTCATAATTTCTTGATGAAGGGTAGTTTGATGTGAAGTAATCGAAAAGGGGGGATAAATTTGAAACAACTAGAATGAAAAGGGCAAATCTGGTACATAATTATTAATTTTTGTTATCCCTATTTCTGCAAAAGCGACTGTTGATATCTTGAAATGTGATAATGGTATTTTTTGGTAGGAAAAAAATGCTCATGTTGGTATGGACAATACTCAAACCCCATAAAACAATCTATATTTACAAACTCTACTCAAAAATACTTGGTAGCTTATTCTCGTTTTGTATAATTTTCTTCATATCTTATAGTGCTCTATTATTTCTTTCAGCAACACTATTTTGTTGAAGGTTCTTGATGCTGATTTAGTACATCCGTATCTTTGATCATCATAGAACTCACGAATTTTCGTTTATTTAATTCCTTTGTTCGTTTACTGCTTCAAAAACTCTGAACATTCTTTTCTCATTGAGTTCCTTTGTGCATTTACTGCTTTTTTGCAGCCTTTCTTTTGCTTTTTTCTGTCATATATTCATTCTCTGATACTGCTTATACCCTAATTTGCAGCAATTGAATCCATTGACATCCCTCGCATTCTTTCTCAGCAAGGGGGAGAAGCAGTTTATCCACTTCCCCGAATTAAGGCTTTAGAAGTACACCGAAAGTTGAATCTAGCAGCATTACTCTTTGCAGTAAGTATCATCGATTTCATCAAAGATAACTTATATTTGTCAAACTTAAAGATGAATATACATTCTCTTTGATATAGAGCATGAGTGGTGGAGACAATCGGAAGAATAGAGCTGCATACACTAGAGAGGGACGGAAACAACTCTTTGCTGTTCTGCAAAGTGCAAGGGGTTCTTCAGGTGACCATCTTAGAATTGATTATTTGATCGAGCATATTCTCTGAGGAAGTTCTCTCCGCCTTGGCATAATGAGTATCACTTGTATGAGTTGTATCTGGAATCAATTTCATTGCATCAGTTTAACAAATGTTAATTTTTTTTTATCTTCCTTCTTTTCAAGAGACTTGTTGAAGAGTTATTTCACTTGGAAGTGTTTGTTTTTTTTTATTTTTTAGAATATTATGGTAGTGGGGTGATAGTTTTGCAGTTCATGTTTGTCCAAATGTATGGAGGGCTAGTTGATCTCAGACAAAGACAAACCTGTTTACTAAATGGGTCAGATTATCTAGATATTAACACAATTTAGTACAGAACGGGTCAATATACCACGAGAGGTCAACGCTTTATCCATTATGTGTTTTTGGCCGATGCAAACTGTTGGATCAACAACATGCTTTCTGACCTGCTATTTCAGTTAGTTTTTCACCTTACCATATGAAATGAGCCAAATACCTCTGTTCATTGGGTTGATTGGTGTATTTACAGGAGCCAGGGTTTACAGGATCTGTTAGTGGACATGCATAGTAACTCATGTCCAGAGAGTAGCATGCCACAATTTGAGACAAAAACAAATGCAATTTTCTTGGCACAAATTGATTATCCTTTTCCCGATACTAACCCATCTTTCCTTAAAGCAAGACATACATGAGAACAATACGTTCAATCTGATTATCTCTGTGATTTTTTTTTTCTAACCAAGAGTTCTGTGCAGCATCTGTATTGAAGGAAAAACTCTCATCCCTTGGTTCGTCTGGCATATTAGCTGATCACCAACTTCAGGCACAACTTCAAGAGCATCATTTGAAAGGGTGAGTTCAGGAGCTACTATGTTATTTTCTTACGGATTTCATAATGTAAAAGAGTATTGATTATTATTAGTACTACTGGAATGCATTTATACTACACAAATGTACTACTCTTGGCTCCTCATAGTTAATCTTCATGGCTGTTTCTTGATAACGAGTAATGGACTAGTTAATTGGATTGAAATGGGTTTGTGCATAGGGCTTGTTCACTCCAGCAATGACAGAAATCCATGGCTAACTAGTTTTGAGTTGCAGGAATAGTTGGAGGGCTACTCTGAGCAAAATTTACTGGAGTAACAAACTCTGTAGCTCCATCACGTCTCGACTTACCTAAATCATACCCAATCTTAACGCTATTGATTTGTTTGGCAAAACAAGGGATTTTTATTGAACCTAACTCATGAGAAAGATAATCATCTATTTACTCCACGATCTCTCTGAACTTTCAGAACATGTATTTTATGTTCTTACTCGAGTATAAGTTTACCAATATAATTGGCTGCACAAAGGGTTCTCATTTATATCTTTATCTTGTTATGTGAAATGCTTAATATATTGGCATAGAAAGTCCTAGGCTGAAAGTGTGAAAAGATGTACTAAATACAAGTATTGATTACCGAAGAATTGAGTTCTAGGATTAAGTTTAATGGTCCAAGGACAAGAATTTAATGAAGTTTTGAGAAGGGAAATTTGTGAAGATCCACAAACTTATTTGGCCAGAGTTGTAATCAGGAATATATTCCAATCTGCCTTTATAAAACTATGTAAGATTTGACACCTAACAGCTGAACCTGCCATTGAAATTAGAGCTGAATTCCACTGGGTGATCTGTGACATCTTGAAATTAGTTTTTGTCTTGTTGAAATGTTTTCTAGAGATGGTTTGTCATAAGAAATAATAATAATAGTTGTCGTGGTTATGGACACGCAACACAACCCTTGAAACTACGCATTGACATGATAGCTGAATTTGATTGGATGATCACTGATCTATAGTAGCTTGAAATTATATATTTTCTTGTTGATTGCTTTCTAAAACATGCTCTGACATGATGATGATGATGATGATGCATCCAGTTAAATATTTTCCACCTGCTTTGGGAGTTGATATTTTAAGAAATTGTTGCTCCAGTGTTTGCTCGTATTCTCACTCTAGTTATCAGTTTGATTTTATAGAAGATAAGCCTCCTATTATCTTATGTTGAAAGCTGTACTGCCATCCCTCATTGAAGAGTTACAAGTAGTCAAGAGTTCACTACGAATTTAGCATCAATTGCTAGAAATGATGCATAACTCGTGTCATGCATTTCTTTCTATGCTTACATTTATTTATTTATTTATCTTGTAACTATCTTCTTCTGTGAAGTCTGAAATTGTTTTAAAGACATTTTACATCATTTTCTCCTTTAGGAAATTGTGCATTCACATGTGACTACTTATGAATGTCTGTAGGAAGGAATAGGAAGGAAATGGTTCTCGCTAATTGTTTTGTTTTCATGTCAGCCAAAGTCAGCTTACAATCTCAGACATAGCAAGGAAGGCTTTTCTTTACAGTGTATGTGAATTCCTGATCTAACACATTAATTCTTCTATCTCATGTATCTTATTTCATTAGTTGGTACGAACTGCCTTTCAGTTAACGAGTTTTTAAAGTTATGAATGGTGGAACTTTCGATAAAATATTTCTAGTATCTGTGGAGTAGTTGTTGGAGATGTAATGTTTTACCATATCAAGATCAGTGTATTAATAAGGCTAGAGCATGATGGCATATGTTTACCAGATGGGGTTTAAGGCTGTGACTTTTGAAGTGTGTTTTTATTTTGAATCACAGTTTATTTCACTACAAATATAAGATATAATACCTGAATTGAGGAAAGAGACGAAGAGAAAAAAATAATGTTGTGGGATATAGACATTTAACCATTGGGTTAAAAACTTGGTCTTTGAACTTAATGTGGTGCTCGCAAGGAGATTTGTGTGGCTGTTAGTTGTCTACTTGTTCTTGTCTACCTTTAGCAAGAATGTCCTTGAAATTTTAATGGTGCTCGCAGAAGTTCCCAAACATTTAATTGTATAAATTTTGTCATTCAACTTGGATGGTTTACCCGTTAGTCACTAAAATTGATTTCGTCCATTTAAACCAACGGCGAGGGTAAGTTGGAAAGCTGTAGTTTGAGACAGTTAGACCTACTTGAACTTCAATTCTGCCCTTCTTAAATGATATCTATAAAAAGCTTGGAATGTTGAGTGAGATAGAAATGAGGGAAGCTACTTAAAACTTTGATATATTGAACAGATGGTCAATTTTTCAGACTACCACCTCTCCAATAATTAAATATATGATGATTGGACTTCACTGGTCGTGGAGTATGTTCCCAACTTCACTCTTACCTACACTGATACCATTATTGGGCTTTATCTGGGCTTGAAGCTTCATGCGTTCTAACTTATTTTCCATTTTGTCAGCTTTTTGGGGGTTGAAGGTCGTCCTTTTGGCCCTAGATAGAGGGTACTTACTGAGATGGTGGTGTTAGATATCTTTTGTAAAACTGATATTTGATAATATAATGCTGGTTATCCTACTATTTTGTCTAAACTCCTTTACTGATTGTTACTTATCAACCCCATTACCAACTAAACCCATTTTAAAGAGGAAGACTTTTATTGCCCTAGCACCTATATGTTCATATATGGTTTATACATGTACTGAATAAGTCCTACTTTATAAACTAGGTCAGGATCGTCGTAGTTGACCTAAGGTCCAAAGCGTGTTGGGTATTTCGTCAGGTGGTGGTGGTGGTTGTTGGGTATCAAGGAAGATGAAATCATTTTTTCATTTTTCTTCAATTCTTTTCTTTTTTCTTCCTTTTCTTTCTCTATATAATTTGGTCAAGGTGGACACAAATGTGGAGAAAATAAACAGCCACACTGGACTTTTTTGTTTGTCAATTCAATCTCACTGTTAGTTTAAATGGACAGAATCCATTTTAGGACTAACGGGGTACACCGTCAAAAGTTGAGAGACTAAATTTTTACAATTAAAAGTACTGGGATCTTTTGTGAGCATCCTATATAGTTTAGGGACTTTATTGGTCAAGGAAGACGCATACGTGGAGAAATATTAATGGTAACATCAGACTTCCATTTTCAAACTCAGCATGGCCGTTAGTTTAAATTGACAGAATCCATTTTAGTGACTGACTGGGTAAACCAAGTTGAGTGGTTAAATTATTACAATTGAAAGTTCAAGAAGACTAACTAGGTCTGCACTCATTAGAGCTAGTTTTACCTCTTTCTAAAGACTGCCTANTTTCATCCAATTGTTTTGATAGCAACTTGTTTGAAGTTACTCTGCTTCATTTATGTTATTATGTAGCCAATTGCCCAATTTAATTCCACAGTTTCCACTTATGAGTTATGACTGCAAATCTGCAATTTAATTCCGCCATTTTTGACTGCAAATTCTGCAATTTTATTCCACATTTCCACTTGCTTGAGTCCGCCCCTGTCTGTGTGTAAGTGTGTTGCTTTATTCCATGGTTTAGTGAACTCAACAACTCTGTGTGTAAGTGTGTTGTGGCCTCTGTGTTGCTTGAGTCCGTTGTGGGCCTTGCCGCCTTGTGGTCTCTGAGTATTTATTGGTTCTGAATCTTTTCAGGAATATAATCCCTCCAATTTTCGATACACTGGATGTTAGCCCACTTCTGGCATTTGCTGTTTTGGGGACTCTTGGCTCAATTCTAAATAGCAGCAGGGGAGCTTACTGAGTATTCTCTGAAGTTTTGTAGTTTGTGATAATGAAATTATGTGCATTTATGGAGAAAATAAACAGCCACACTGGACTTTTTTGTTTGTCAATTCAATCTCACTGTTAGTTTAAATGGACAGAATCCATTTTTAGGACTAACGGGGTAGAACGTCAAAAGTTGAGTGACTAAATTTTTACAATTAAAAGTACTGGGATCTTTTGTGAGCATCCTATAAAGTTTAGGGACTTTATTGGTCAAGGAAGACGCATACGTGGAGAAATATTAATGGTAACATCAGACTTCCATTTTCAAACTCAGCATGGCTGTTAGTTTAAATTGACAGAATCCATTTTAGTGACTGACTGGGTAAACCAAGTTGAGTGGTTAAATTATTACAATTGAAAGTTCAAGGAGACTAACTAGGTCTGCACTCATTAGAGCTAGTTTACCTCTTTCTAAAGACTGCCTAGATGTTAGATTATCTTGAACTGTCATTGGAGGATAAAAAAGCACATGTAATGGTTTAATCTACTTATTCTTTTTGAATTAATTGCCTGTTTTGTTTGCCTTCTTTATGTTTAGCAGTTATTGTTCTGAGGTGTGCACAATTTTTTGCTATAGTGTGTCTATTTATTTGTGGAAGAGACTATATATTCACATGCAATTAGAAGTTTAGATGATGCAAAGCTCTCAAATTCTCTGCCTTTTTATAATCAAATTTGAAGTTCTAAACTGTAGATGTTTAATCATGAACTCTACTTGGTGTTACAGCATTTCATGGAAGGTCATACAAAAACTGCTCCAATATCTCGGTTACCTCTAATTACAATTTTGGATACAAAGCATCATCAAATTAGTTGCTTCTTCAGTGTTGATCATTGTACACTTCCACTATAAATTATGAAGTTATAAAGTTCACTGATCTACTGTTTTCAGATTCCTGGAAATGTGGAATTCCATCCAAAGTACATTGTCTACAGCAAAAAGCAGCACCTGTTTCTTGTTGTTTATGAATCCATTGGTGCCACAAATGAAATAGTAATGTATTGGGAAAACATGGATTCTCAGTTGGCTAATAGTAAAGCAACAACAGTTAAAGGTTCGTACAGCATCTTTGGCGTGCTATTTTCTGCTGTTGTACTCATTATTATGCCTATGCATGATTTCAAAAGAGTCTTCTTGATCCATACATCTCTGCACATTGTCCAGGTTCAGATGCTGCCTTTGTTGGTCCTAACGAAAATCATTTTGCCATTCTTGACGAAGATAAGACTGGACTTTCTTTGTATATTTTGCCGGGAGCAGCTTCACAAGAATCTCTTGGAAAGAATGGAACCATTGAGGAAAATCAGTCAGTAGATACTGATGTTGCTTCTGTTAAGGGTCCAATGCAATTTATGCTTGAAAGTGAAGTTGATCGCATCTTTTCGACTCCACTAGGTACTTAATGAAGAAGTTTCTTGGTGTTTGATTTACTTGAAAACACTTCGAGAAGGTTCTGATCCATGCTGTCTACTTCTGTAGAGTCAACTTTGATGTTTGCTTCTCATGGGGACCAGATTGGGTTGGCAAAACTTGTCCAAGGATACCGCCTATCAACTTCTGATGGACATTATATATCTACAAAAGGTGAAGGTAGAAAATCCATCAAATTGAAGCCAAGTGAGATAGTGCTTCAGGTAATTATTTAGAAAGGAATACTAAATTACAGTTAAGAATTTTCTGTTTTTCTCCACTCCTTTCATCAATTAAGATATTAGAATTTTAGTTCCTTGTGCTCATTGTTGCTAACCTGACCCAAGAAATGTACTGATGCAGGATATTGATTTCAGTACCTTATATTTATTACTTATTGATGCATGGCATGTAACCAAGTCATTGCGTAGAGGGTCTTAAACTGTTCTATAACTATATTGCTTGGGGTGGGACTACCTCCATGTCGCTTTACCAGAGTTCTCTGCGGGGGACCTGAACTTGGTATTAATACGAAAATTGAACACCTTGTTTTTCTCATTTTCAAAATTTAACAGGAGTAAACGAATATGAACCTGCCATAGGGCATTTAATATGAAGCACATATAGGTTCTGGAGATAATTTATTGGATTACAAGTGAAGAAATGCACATTTTAGTTTCATGATCGTTTAGTTTCTCTGCAATTTCTCCTCCGTTTTTCTTCTCTCTCATTTTCAGCTTCTGTTGAAATCACGTTATCTGTTAATGTTTCTTATTTTTTCCTTCTCATTATGAGTCTATGAGAGAGTGTCAAAAGGAGAAGGATGTCCATATCTTCTCATATATTTGCCTGGTTGGTTCTTTGAATCCGTGATGAAGCAAACAAATATTTTTCTTGTTTTTCTTTTTCTCGACTATATAAAATAATGAATTTGCCACGCAGAACCTCAAGTAACTAATCCATCAAATGGACAAACCTACAGGAATATGGCATAGGACGGTACTCCGTACTAGACCTTGATTTGGTTCACGTACCAGTTTCCTTAGTGCAATTTGATAGAAGCGCATATCAAATGACAATTATTAGTTAATTCCCAGATCAAGGGTAACCACATGCAAGTTCTGACATCTCTCACATACATGACTATGTTGCTGTTATTATCTACTGCAGCATAGGTGTCCATAAACTGCAAGTCTTCTGTGATATCATGCTGAAATCATGACATTTTAAGGGTTTTATGTGCCTAATTGGATTCCTCTTGGTTGTATGAATTCTTCCCATCTGTGAAATGATTTTTCAGTATGTGAAGCATCATTTTAAAATGCTGATGTTTTTTATGTTCTGGGTTACGCATTTAGTTGCTTCCCAAAGTCGTTAAACTTTTTGGTGGTTTCTTTCCTGAAGTTCTATTCTGGTTGACCATTTATGTTATGTTGATGATTTTTTATTTTTTTAAAATTGGTGGAATCAAATGCAAGTAAAAAAACTAGCTTCTCATGTTTTAATACTCTTCTGTTAGGTACATTGGCAAGAAACGCTCAGGGGCTTTGTTGCTGGTATATTAACTACGCAAAGGGTGTTAATTGTTTCGGCAGATTTAGATATACTGGCCAACAGTTCTACTAAGTTTGATAGAGGACTGCCTTCAATATCCTTTATGCTTTGTGATTCCTCCTCCTCCCACTCCTCCCACAATGTGTGCACACACACTATCCCAAAAAAAAAAAAAAATGGAAAATTAAGATAACTCTTTGTTCTTATGTGATAGTCTAGCTGTGATTGAGCTCTTTAACTCGTGATCACTTTAGATCCCTTCTGTGGATTGGGCCTGCACTTCTCTTCTCTACTACCAGTGCTGTATGTGTGCTTGGCTGGGATGGAAAAGTGAGGACCATAGTCTCTATTAGTATGCCTAATGCAGGTGGATCTCTAATTCTTGCTCCAAATTAGCTTATGCGCTTTCATGGTTGAGGCTCATTGGCAGCATATTTGCACTTATTTTGTTGCTTACATGTCATTAACTGTATTTCTCAATTATGTAACTAGATTTCTCATCTTTCAACATCAACTTTTTCCTTGCAGTGTTGGTTGGAGCTTTGAATGATCGTCTGCTGCTTGCAAACCCAACAGATATAAATCCCAGACAGAAGAAGAAAACTGAGATCAAGAGTTGCCTTGTTGGGCTTCTCGAACCTCTTCTTATTGGATTTGCAACAATGCAACAACATTTTGAGCAGAAGCTTGACCTGCCAGAGATCCTATACCAAATTACATCGAGGTTCTTGTTATCTGATTTTAGACGTGCTTTAGTAGAATATTGTCTCTTCTGAGTTCTGAACTTCTGATACTACACATGGATTATGGGATTAACTTTACCTTCCACCACATGCAAAAGTTTAAATTTATACAATTGTTGAGGCCTGTGGTTGACGTAGTGAATTGTCTGATTGAAGGTTTGACAGCCTACGTATTACTCCAAGATCACTTGATATTCTTTCCAGAGGTTCTCCAGTTTGTGGTGACCTTGCCGTGTCATTGTCTCAATCAGGACCCCAATTCACTCAGGTTAGCCTGGTACTTCATGGATGGATACTTTTATGTCTTTTATTAACATAGTATGCTCGTGGTTAATTTTTGCTCGTCTAATTTAGGTGTTGCGAGGAATCTATGCAATCAAAGCACTTCGTTTTTCTACTGCATTGTCTGCATTAAAAGACGAGTTTTTGCGTTCAAGAGACTATCCACGATGTCCCCCAACCTCACATTTGTTCCACCGGTTCCGCCAGTTGGGATATGCATGTATCAAGTATGTAGCAAAGATATATCTTCGGCTTATGATGATGCCACTTAATCATTTGAGCTTGACTTCATGATCTTCATATACTTATATCTCTTGGAAATGAGTACATCTTGATATCCCTCTCAGCACATACAGAAAAGATCTTCATGTTGGTAGAATATCTCTTACTATTTAGCTATCATTAAGAGCAAATTACACCGAAACACCCTCTTTCAAAATTACAAAAACCTTCCCTGTCAAGCAATAATAAATATGTATCTCCTATATTACCCTTGGTCTCTCTATGCTAAAGTTGAAGAAATTATTAAATGATATTTTAACGGTATTGCTTTCTCTATTTCTTCACATTTAATATTTTTCACCTTATTTTTTATTTAGATAGGAGCCATTAGTTTTAGCTTAATGAAAACTAACTTTTTTATTCTTTTTGCATAAAGTAAATCTAAAATTAAAATTAACTTTTTTTAAAAAAAAAAACATAATTGATCCGAAATTTTTATCAGAAAAAGGCAAAGAAAAAGAAAATCTAAACTACTGAAACAACTTCTCGTTCGTGGTTCATTGTTCATATATGTTTACTTTTTTGGATGAATTTTATGAATAATGTTAATGCAAGTTTATTCTTTTCATTTATTGTATATTTATGAACACAACGGTAATATTTTGAATAAGCATTCTGAAATTTGCAATACTATTGTAAGATATGATTGAATTTTCTCTCTTGATTCAGTACTATCTTCTTTAATATCTCTGTCTTTTTCTAGGCATAACATTTATACTTAGTGAAGCTTAAGAAATTAAACTACTCTTGTGATGATATCTAAAATGGTTCGAAGTTTTCCTCTTATCTTTTCCCTTTATCCAGGTCAAGAAATTGGATCGATTTGTTTAATTTTAAAATAACAAATTAATCTTGACAAAATTATTGAGATATACCCATGCCTTTTGCTCCCACCTCAATAAAAAATAAGATATTTTTAAAGAAATATCATTTAATAATAGATTAAATCTAGTGTAAAGACAAAAGTGTAAAATGTAAAATGCATTTTCTTTTTGGCCCGATAGGGGAGTTCTTTTTGTAAAATGGGGATATGAGGAATTACCTTTTTGTTGCTTTAGCCTTATTTTGGTGTAAATAGGTCCAAATCTCTTTTGGTATTTCCTTAAATACCATTCATATATGTTTGGCAGTATCTATTTTTCAAAAAGATCTTCAAGTCCAATTTACTGGTTTGAATAGTTTACATATTTCATGAGTGGAAAAACTTGTATCCTTATGACTAAAATGTATAGATAAATTAGCCTCAGTTTGTTACTACTATGTTTCATCTTTTGATCCTTTCCTCACTTCATAATCTGGGAATAATGTTTGAAACTGCAGATATGGTCAGTTTGACAGTGCAAAAGAAACTTTTGAAGTTGTAGCAGATTATGAAAGCATGCTTGATCTTTTTATATGCCACCTTAATCCTAGTGCAATGCGGCGTCTTGCTCAGAAGTTGGAAGAAGAGGGTGCTGATTCAGACTTGAGGCGATTCTGTGAGAGGATTTTAAGAGTACGCTCTACTGGGTGGACCCAAGGCATATTTGCAAACTTTGCTGCTGAAAGTATGGTTCCTAAAGGATCTGAATGGGGCGGTGGGAACTGGGAAATCAAGACACCCATCAACCTGAAGAGCATACCTCAGTGGGAACTGGCTGCAGAGGTGATGCCTTACATGAGAACTGATGATGGAACAATCCCATCCATTGTTACTGATCACATTGGTGTTTATTTGGGTTTAATCAAAGGAAGAGGTAACGTTGTTGAAGTGAGAGAAGATAGTTTAGTGAAAGCGTTTAAAGCTGATGGTGGTGGTGTCAAGGCAAATGGACTTCAGGCATTTGTTGCTACAACTGCATCAAACAAGCCTAAAGGGGCACCTGATGGTGAATCTAAAGGTGATTCCTTGATGGGTCTAGAAACTCTTTCCCAACAATTTTCCAGTTCCAGTGCTGTAGATGCTCAGGCAAAAGCTGAGGAAGAATATAAGAAATCACTATATGGTGCTGCTGCCGATGGGAGCAGCAGCGATGAGGAAGGAACTTCAAAAACCAGAAGATTACACATTAGAATTCGAGACAAACCAGTAGCATCTTCTACAGTGGATCTAAATAAAATTAAAGAAGCCACGAAGCAGTTGGGCCTTCCAATGAGTAGGACCAAGTCATTAACTAGTTCATCCCCAGATCTAGGCCTAATTGTACCTCAACCTGCTCCTACAACCTCTGGAACTGTGACAGCTCCCGTTGTTCCTGTTTCTTCAGATCCTTTTGGAACCAACTCATTGGCTCAACCTGCATCCACATCACAGCCTGCTCCTACGGTAACGGGTGGTGGAGTTACAGCAGGTCCAATCCCAGAGGACTTCTTCCAGGATACTATATCATCAATTCAAGTTGCAGCATCACTTCCTCCCCCTGGGACCATCCTCTCAAGGCTAGGTCCAAATTCTCAAGGAGCTGGAAGCAACAATGTCCCAGCTAACCAGGTTAATGTAGCTGCAGCTGATACTATACCCAGTGGTGGGATACCCCGACAAACTGCGCAACAGCCAGTTACGTACGAGCCCGTTGGGCTTCCAGATGGTGGAATACCGCCCCAATCCATGCCTCAATCTGCTGCTCTACCACAGCCTCAGATTCAGATGACTCCGCAGGTTCCCATCTCTAGTCAGCCCCTTGATCTCAGTGCTCTTGAACCTCCAGGATCTGAAATCTTAGGAAAAACTCCTGCACTTCCAGCTTCTCCAAAAGCTGTCCGTCCTGGGCAGGTGAATATGTCTTTTTCTGTTTCCCTGCTAGTAGTATATAGAACAACGAAGCTTAAATATGACATTTATCCTGGCCTTTCTTTTCTTGTTTAGTAATTGCTAATCTATAGAATTTTAATTTTTTACCATTATTCATGATCCTAATAACAGAGTTTGAAAAATAGAATTATAACCCCCATGTACACATTTTAATGCACCTCTGTATGCATTCAAAGAGATTCTTTTTTGAATTATTTGTTATTTAATACTGAATTCGTCAACTGCTGTGTGTGCACGGTAAAACTGATTTTGTTTTATTCCTCTCATTTTGCTCTCTGAAAAATCGTTGTTGTATTCATCTAGTAGCACGCAAAAGGATTGCACTTGATATATGGGTGCAAGATCTCAATGTTTGGAAAATGAATTTGGCTAGAACTAACCCTAATACTCGGTTCATTCTAATGGAGACAATCTCCATGCTGAGCCCAACTCAAGTGGGAAAATGAATTATAACTGCCATGTACATTTTAATGTACCTCTGTGCATTCACGGAAATTTGTTTTTGAATTATTTGTTATTCCATAATGAATTCATCAACTTCTGTGTGTGCACTGTAAAGCTGACTTCATTTTATTCCTCTCATTTTGCTCTCTGAAAAATCCTTGTAGTATTTCATCTAGTAGCACTTGTTATGTGGGTGCAAGGTGTCAATGTTTGGAAAATAATTTTGGCTAGAAATAACCCTGATACACGGTTCATTCTAACGGAGGCAATCTTCATGCTGAGCCCAACCCAAGTGGGAAAATGAATTATACAAATATTAGATCTGTCTTTGTGTTTGAAACTACATTATGCAGTTTACACAGATATTAATACATCGAGATGGTAGTACTTCCGATTTGGTAGCATATTTTGAATTTCTTGTCTCTTCCATCAACATTTTGGCCTTTTCTTGTTGCAGGTTCCTCGTGGGGCTGCTGCTGCATTTTGTTTCAAGACTGGACTTGCCCATCTGGAGCAAAATCAGCTTTCAGATGCATTATCCTGTTTTGATGAGGGCTTCCTAGCATTAGCCAAGGATCAATCTCGTGGTGCAGACATAAAGGCTCAAGCCACAATTTGTGCCCAATACAAGATTGCTGTCACCCTTCTTCAGGTATTATAGTTATGTGTGTGTTCAACTGAAACACAGTTGAATTGCTTTATCATGAACCAAATATTGCACGAGTACAATCCTCTACACTGTCACCTGGAGACAAAATTAAACATCGTACTTCCCTATGGCGTTTAGCATAGTCCTAGAGGATGCACTAATTTCTAAATCCAACCCTCATCTGTCAGAAACCTAAATGCTCTTCCCTCTCTTGATGGCGAATCTTGATTGACTGACACCAGGGACCGATTCGGAGAAAGAAGTCCGATCCTTTATAGGAACTACCCATAATAATGAACTTGCAAAATGGATCTGTTTATCGTAAAGAGATATGTCGTTCCTGACCCTTCTTCACCTTAATTGTTAGTTGAACAAGTACAAGTTCTTTCTTGGTCCAAAGTGGGGATATCATTTCTCTTCTGCATGTCCACTGAGTTTTGAAAAGTCCGAACATCTGAGAGATTTTCTAAATTGGCCCTCTAGTTCAGTGTCTGTCAGAATATAGGTTATCTCCTCTCTGTGCCCTTTTTTAAATAATTAATCCTCATGAGTGGTGAGATTAGCTTTGGCACTTTTGGCTGTGCTTAAAAAGTTCATTTTATATTTAGTTTTGTTGGAAAAAAGGTAACTTTTGAAAATCATCATTGGTAATGTAAGTAACTTAGAAGTAGTTGTGTCTTACTTTTAAGGACAGCCAAACATGCAAAGCTTAGCAGCTCCTGGATCTAAATATCAGGCCATGCCTCCCATTCCCTTTCCCCTCTCCTCCAAAAACTAAAAATTTGAAAACCATTCTGAACATTGACGTGTCTGGCAGAGAAGTTTGAGAGCTTTCCTTTCCTCCTCCTGTAGCAATAATCTCGGTAAACCACAGGAATCCCCCATAAGAATGGGTTTGGATTGAGCCAGGCTATAAAATTTAAAACCTCCTACGAGGCCCATCACTTTTGTGAGCAAACAATTATAATCAAAAGTACCTAGTTTCTCAGTTGGTATGTGATCATATCACCTGGGGAGAATAGTCATATGAAATCCAAAATAGTAAGTGACACATGATGATAGTCTGTTATCTGTTGAATGGAGAATAATTTTACACCCGATCTAGTACAGAGCCTCAGCTAAACTTTGGAGAATTTCTCATTTGCATCATTATGTTGACTTCTTATTGCTCTGTCCTTTGCGCTCCACCACAGGAAATAAACCGACTGCAGAAAGTTCAGGGTCCTAGCGCAATTAGTGCAAAAGAGGAGATGTCAAGATTGTCACGCCATTTGGGTTCATTGCCTCTTCTTGCAAAGCACAGGATAAATTGTATTCGAACTGCCATCAAAAGGAACATGGATGTGCAGAATTTTGCCTATGCCAAGCAGATGCTTGAACTACTACTCTCTAAAGCACCTCCCGGGAAGCAAGACGAGTTGAGAAGTCTGATTGATATGTGTGTTCAGAGGGGCTTGTCCAACAAGTCTATTGATCCATTAGAAGATCCCTCCCAATTCTGTGCAGCTACACTTAGCCGTTTATCTACAATTGGGTATGATGTTTGTGATCTTTGTGGCGCCAAATTCTCTGCACTGTCAGCACCTGGCTGCATCATCTGTGGCATGGGCAGCATTAAAAGATCAGATGCAATTGCTGGACCAGTCCCTTCGCCATTTGGCTGAGGTCAATATACTAGCTACACTCCCCCGAATTAAGGTGGCAATTCGCTCTTCCTTACAGGGTGCCACTGCAAACAAATTTTTTTCTTCAAATTTTCCTCGGTCATCCTATGTCTGTTCTTTCTATATTTATCTGGGTTTTGCAGGGGTGGAGCCGTGGAGTATAGCCGATATCGTTTGCTTGGGTGTGGCATTTTTATTTCTCTTGTTAATTCTGTTTGTATGTTAATAGGAGACCACCACTTTTTCTGCATGATGTATTTTGCTTATTTTCAGTTCGATTTTCTTATTTTCACTACATTTTATGTTTACTTTGTTGGAATTTAAGCCTTTGTTTGAGCCCCATTTTGGGGAGAAAATGTGTGTTTAAATAGTGATTTTTTTTTGAGAATGTGGTTGAGAACTGAGAAAAAGTTTTGAAATTACTTGTAAAATTATTTTATTGGTGAATGTTTAATTGAAAATAAGTTTTAAAAAATGGAGCCAAACATTAGCTAAATATCGAAACTCGACCAAAGAGTTATAACCCTTTAGAAAATGCTTATACTGTATAAAATCGCTTCTATAATCATCAAAATTTCGAGACTACTAACAATTGAGTGATGAACGAAGTTTCAACAATTCCAATTTTTGTATATTAATAATGTACAAACAGTTTTCTTTTCTTGACACACTTTAGTTCATCGTTAGAACCGTACGATTTAGATCTTGCAACCACAACTGTCTACCTATTCCCTCTTCTAAATCGTCTGATTCTACTAAATTCCATTTGCAATTCATGTTCACATCATATCAACAAATTCCAACTCAAGAAAGTAAATCGGGTAAATGATAATCATATCAGCCTGTGAAATGATATAACCATTTTGATGTACTCAGCAATGATCAAGAATCAGCATAGCCAACTTTCATTTAATAATGTCAACAAAAATGTAGATTATATTTATTTGCATAGTGTATTTATCTATAAGTATATAATCTCCAACTAAAGCGCCTCGAGAAGTTTGAATGCCAAGGTTTTGGAGAAAAAATCTATCGATATACAAGGTACCTGAAACTGAAATTATATGGCATAACCTGTACTAATGTAGAAAGAGGCTGTTTTCCTCCTCTCTCAAGACATTTTACTGCCTGATTCTTGAGCTCAGACGGTAGCTGAAGGCAAACCCAGTCGAGTAATGCATCCAGGTCCTTTGCAAAGTCGAGTCGATACCAGTCTAGTAGTTTCGGAATTATTAACTTGTTTGCTGGTGAAATCCCAACTGCTGCCTGTAAATAGTCTCTTTTTGCATTTTCCAACTCAGTTTCAATGTGAGATGCAGTGTACACCCTCACCTTAATTCAAGAAAATTTACACATCAAATGGAACAATCTCAGGAGAATTTTAGTATAAATTTTTCCATCAAAAGTATCAATGATTTATATGCTCAATATCAACAAAATATTGGGCAAAAAAAAAAAAAAAAAATTAAACAATTACAGCATGTGTTTGAACTCATAAAACTTATTATAGTTTTCTGTTCCATATAACATCATCATGTGTATCATTTGGGAATCTAAATTTCAAATTTTATTTTAACAATAATATTTTCTAAAATGTATTAGATAAAAAACATCGGGACGTGATTCTTATGTTGTACAATACTAGATTCGACAAAAGTAAAGAAGATATAAATCATAACTGTCATTTGGGAATCTAAACTACATTTCACATTTTCTTTAACAATTTTTCACTTTGTGTTATTGAAAAATTTAAGTAAACCGAGATCGAATTTCCGAACTTGTTTTCATAAAATTATTGTTCTATGGAAATAATTGAAGCTACTAAATGATCTACCTATGTTGACTCAACAAGCAGCATAGTGAACTTACAGCAGGGGATGACCAACTTCCACAGGAGAGTGCAAATGTGACCAGTGGTTCGGACCATTCTAAGCCGAATGTGCTACGAACCTTCATTTCGTCGTTTTTGGTAAATTTTTTGTATGTCTATAAAAGGGATTAGCAGTTTACATATATTCTTGAATTTATACTAAATATTTTGCAAAAAAATAATTATATAGAGCTTTAGAAAATAAGTAACAGAGAAAAATAAGTGAAGAAAACTTACATATTTTAAGTGAAATGGTAATCTCAAGATGAAGTGCTCAATCATAATTGCATTTAGCAAATGTCCTTCAACAGTAATAGTCGCCTGCAGGAAGCATAGTTGAATTTCAGGAAACTCTGGAGTACACGCACAGCAATTGAAATAAAATGTGTGGTAAAAATTAATTGAATCGCCAGCTAGTTTGAGAGTATTTAATTTCCATAGTATCTTCAAAAAGGCTAAAGAATTTCAGAAAATTTTCAGATTGCTGTCAAGTTTTAACGATTATTTAGGACTGTGAACTTAATATCAGATTGGCCATTGATGATTATTCACCGAATAATGCTATTTAACATTATGATGATGGAACATCCGTGATGTGACAGTCTATATGGAATAATGAGATTGAAAAGTTCAATTTTTATGAGTGAGGGGGAGGATAGAGAGAAAAATGTGAGGGATAATGGGTTGCCACATCACCGACGTTCCATTGTCATGATGAAAAATAGCATTACTCTTGTTCACCATCATATGTTTCTACTGGACCTAACAGGAACAGTTTTTGATAGTGTACATAAATAAAAAACAAAAACACGACAGACGATCAGCAAACCATTAGCAAAGTTAAGAAAGTACGGATTGGAGTAATTGGAGAAGTCTTGCCTTTTGCATTAGTGCTACAGCCATTTCAGGACTGTCAGGAATTCCATGCTCCAAAAATGCCTGAAAAAACATTAATAGCACGGGTACATTTTCCTTTAATAACTTTTGTTAAGCAATCGGATGTTTGACGTCCAAGAAAAAATGACCCTTAAGAAAAAAAGTCATTTTGAGCAAACTATAAGACTTCTTACATTCATCATGCAGGAATTGTAGGTGTTAATCCAGAAGGCGAGCTTCTGTTGATGCTTTAAACCCTCTAAATTGACAGACGCTAGCTTGCCAAGGAGGAGCCTGAAATTTTTGTAGGAAAAAGTTTGTAACATACGATTTCATCTTCTCAAAACCAAAAATAGAACCATCACAGGCCTTACTTTAATCTACGGATAAAAAATGATGCCTTTGACTTGCGGTTGAGATCAACTGATCCAGCTTCAATTGTGCAAAGATGTTTGTAAGGGCCGATGTCCCTCTTCTTAAATTCAGAAGATATACAATAAGGATCTCGAAAATCTGATTCCACGTTATTCTTACTAAATGCTCTAGATACAAGTGAAGAAAAAGACTCTGAATCCATTGTTTTCCCTTTCAGTTTGTTCAACCTTAGAAAAATGCTGGACAAGCACTTTAGTAGGTCCTCTGAAATTTTGTTTGCCGGGCTCTCTGCATCAGTCACTAAGTCATCTGACGAACTAGTTGAACTCTCTTGTGCTTGCTCCACAATTCTACACTGAAACAGTACAATCACATTAAGAATTGAATGTCTATCCATAGGCCGAGACTTTATAGCTTGTTTGGTACACGAAACGAGTACAGTCCAATCCTATTCAATGGTGCGTACAAATCGTGCATTTCTTTTTTTATCACATTGCAAATGAGAAAGTACCTGCAGTTTCCTTGGACTTGCAATTTTGCTTATTGGTTCAGGATTTACTGTAAGTTTCTTTTCCACGTCAATTATTACAGGGTTTTTCTTTTCCGAAGATAGTTTATCATCGGAAGAACTGAAACAAGATCGATTCTTGATTCTTAATCCATATTTGGAGGGCAGATTTGGTTTACAGGAAGCTAGTTTTCCATTAGAGGTCCTGTTAAAGGAATCCCTCGTGCCTTCTGAGACAGATTCAGAAGGAAATAGTTTTCTTGTAGATGCACTTCTCGCAAGAGAAGCTGAAGGGCGTGCGGCTAATGAGCTCAAATTGACATCATTTTGTGACAAGGATCTCGAGTGTCTTCGTCTAGAACTTCCAACTGACGACTCAGTGTATGAACACGGTGAATCCTCCACGCTCCTTTTGGAGGATATGTGAACAGCTTCCTGATATAGACCAACCTGTTCTTCAAGCCAGACAACCTCTTCTTCCAATACAGCTACTTCAGCTAGTAGCTCCAAGATCTAAAACATCACAATGCAGATAACAACATTACTTCTCTACTCGAAGATTCAGATATCAAAATGCAAAATTGAACTGGGCTGATTAAGTACAATGGTGTGAGTTCAATCTTGTCTAATACTGATAGCAGACGGGGTTAAAGAAGAAGGAAAAAAAAAAACCAAAATCTTGTTCATCGTGTTGTTCATCTTGTGGTTAGAGCAATGTCTTTGTTAAGAAGAATTGCCATATCTGGAAGAGAGCTGAATTATACTTTAATTAGTACTAACATTATGAGGAAGATAAGGAGGGAGTCGAGGTAGAACTCCTAATGGTCTATTAAAAGCCCTCTCAAGAGCTCTATGAACATTTTCTTCGTGTCTCAGCTTCTTCCTTAGCTTGTCAACCTGCCAATGTGAAGAAAATACACAAAAAAATCAGAACATAGATAAAAATTATGTCAAATCTTATAAAAAATTCTTGTATATTCTTTGAAATTTGATTACATCTTGTGATAAGGCCATTTTTGTTTCTCTCATCAACCGGCGCCCATTTGCTGGAGCTTTTTCTGTGGACTGTGATTTGCTTCCCTGCAATTCCATCTTCTTCCCCTGTAAAGATTCAGATTACTGAATTTTTCCAAGTACACTTAAAATTTATATTGAGGGATCAAAAATCATCATTTCTTGAATAAGAATAAATAACCCAATTCCCATTTAGAAATAAAGAACCTCAACTTTTCAGTACAATGACAGTTCAGAAATCACAACTACCAGATCAACAAAATAGGAAGTCTAAACAATGAAAAATTCACTTCTTTTAATAAGAAATAATAATAATGAAAACAATTAAAATGAGAAAACAAATGAAAACAGAAATAAAAAAGACTTACATTTTGAGGATTTAAAGGTGGTTTCTTGGAGTTAATAATTCTGCTGAATCCGTCTTTCATCCCTTTGTTACTTTTCCAGGAAACACCATAAAGATCTACAGTTGCAACTCACCAAGAAAAGTATTAGAGTGTCATGTAACTAAAATGGATTCAAGAGAGAGTAAATACTACAGAATCCACATCACAAACCATTTATGTTTACAAACACACACCCGAGAGAGAGAGAGAGAGAGAGAGAGAGAGAGAGAGAGAGAGAGGGCGGGAAAGTTGAACGGTGAAATGAAAGTGAGGGACACTAAAAAGGTTGGAGCATAGCATAAAGCCAAAGTATCCTTTCAGTTTTGTGGATGGAAATATGGTAAGAAAGCTGGCTCCTATATTGTTCTTTGTGATAAATTAGTTGTATTTGTACTGTACTAAACAGAATTACAGAAAAAAATAGATTTTATTTTTGATAAATTAGTTGTACTGTACTAAAAAAGAAAGTAAGGGACACTATTCGTATGCATGCATAAATGCAGAATTCCTGGGTATAAACACTCCCAGCACGTTTGGTAAAATAAAAAATGAACCACAACCATTCAGTAAAAAAGCCATAAGTTCGTTATTTAAAGGGGTGTGTGTATTATTTGATCAACGGGTTTCTTCATGTGCATCTTCGATGAGTATTTTACGTCTAACCTAAATTTACGCTGACTTTTATAAGTAGTCGATGATATGAAAGAAGTACGGTATTGAATTAATCTACCTAAAGGTTAAGTTAAATTAGACATCTGGTTCAGATATCTTGAGCATCAGATTGAATCGATTCATGAAAATGAGAACCATAATAAAAGGATCGGATTGGACCAGAAACGATCAACCCTTGATAATAAGACATAGAACTAGACCAATTTAAATTGATTAAAAATATCCACTCTTAGTCTTAAGATACAAAAATAATGTTTTTTTTATTTATTCTTAACTTTTTTTTATGCATATTGATAAGGAATTCATTATTAACTATATAATGCTAAGAGAGAAGTGACAGGGAAGTGGGATGCAGTGGGAATTGCACTGGCATAAATTGTGCCTGAGTGAGTGTAATTATTTACAATAAAGTTAAAAAATATATAATTAATATATTGAGAGTGGTTGAGTGATAAATCAAGAAAAATCGGCAAAGTCATGTAGAATAATTAAAACATCTGTTCATTAATTTCTCTTTCCATTAAAAGGAATTATAATATATATTCACTAATATTATTAATTTTAATTATAAAAGAATAAAAGTACTTTCTGAAGCTATTATTTTCATTAATTTGTACCTATTTTTTCAATTAGCATTTTTTAAGAGAAATTAATTGTGAATCTAATACAATTATCATTTCTACTAAAAGATTTTAACTTCATGGGTCCAATTTAACCAAATTTCTAATTGAAAAAGAGTAAACAAGGAAAATTAGATTTGAATCCAAATAATATCAGATATTTTAATGAAGTTTTTGGTGGTAAGTGGTTTCCTAGTGATGGCAATTTTCCCCTCGGGGCGGCCCCGAATGGGGCAAAAAAACTCGCCCAGAACTGGTTGGCGAGGCGGGGCGGGGTGGGGTTAGCCGCCCCATTTCGGGTCGTGGGGCCGGGCGCCCGGCCTTGCCCCGTGAAAAAAATTTTTTGTTTTGAACATTGTTTGTTTTGGACATTTTTTTATTTCGAGTACTTGCTTTGAATATTGCTTTAGTTAGTTTGATCATTATTTGCTTTGAATTTTAAAATTTTGAATTTATATTTTAACTAGAAATAAAAGAAAAGGCGGGGGGGGGGGGGGGGG